TGTCTATGATATATAATAAGGTTAAATGCTTAGAAATCTCTCTCTATGCTTTTGTCTTCTCATAAAGTCTTTGCATGTCTTTCAAAGTGTAGTGAACAATGGCAATTTTCACACTTCAAAAGCTTGTGATAAATGCTATAACCCAACATAGTGTAAGTATTCATACATTTTTTTGCCATTGTTACATTCGTTCTTATACTATCACTAAGTTTGTTTCAATGAGTTTTAAATCAGTTCCTTTATCATAAAATTAATAGAATCCATTATCTTTGTTTCTTATTCTTGTGGTTATTAATTTCTTATTATATTCTTTATCTAAAATTATCCATTAATTATTTATAAAAATAAATAATTTATCATTATTTGTTCATGATTCTACTATGATTAAGTTGCAATTCAAGTCATGGATGTATAAAACATTGTGTAAATATATTGCATCAAATCCTGAAGTTATATTAGCAAACCTTGTATCTTCAACCTTATAAGATTTATCATTTGCAATTTTTGTTGCCTTACATAGAATCTATACATCCATCAATTAGAGATTTGAGATTCTCCAATGAGGTGAATATTGATTTCCAAATCAATGTATTAATCCCTATTTTGGTAGTCAATAAAGTTGGCCTTACTTATTTTATCAATATATCTACTATAAGTATTTTCTTACACATAATTAATACTAAAGTTGCAATATTGATTTTGTGTGCAATTTTAGACAATGTGATTTGGCCCTTTGCATCCATACCAATAAAATGATTATATGTCTCTATGTTGTCCAAATCTAAACACAAATAATTGCAAGAATACTCTAATAAAGTTCAATAGTTTTTTTGGTCTAATTTAAAGTTGATTGATTATATGTGGTTTTGATCCTCAAAAGTATTATAGCATTTTTTAAATTAATTTTCTTTTCCTTCTACATCTTCTTTGCATGAATTGATTTTGTTCACATCCTTCAAAATGAGTGCATTAGAATTGTATTGATAATTCTTTCTCTTATATAAATTTTTATTTTTTAATTGGCATACAATGGGTTTCAGTAAAAAACCTATCTATAACATCTTCAAGTATTAGTTCTATCATATAAATCATGCCTTAAATCACCATTTTATAGCTTTGTGGTAGGTCATTGAGGACAATATTTATGAATATCTTGTTTGTAATGACTTTGCCAAATGCCTTCAATTGATTCTTTATGTCTATTACTACTATCAAATAAATATTGATATTACTTCTTTCTCTTAATATTATTCTATTTTCATGTAGTAATATGACTATTAGGTGAAAGAAGAAAGAAAGGGTTTTATTACAAAAGAGCCTAATTAAAAAGAAATAGTAAAAAAATACAAATAAAAAATAAAAGGTAGTAAAATCTTATAGTATTAGAATTGCCTTTTATGAAAACGGATTCTATTTACTTTGAATGACCATAAATAATCTTTTAAATTTTGCAATTTAATAGTATTTTCTAGTTTGATTGAAGCAAAAATTAGTGAGAGAAATTTAGACTTAAATATCTACACAATCCAAATTTTAGAGCAATTAAACAGTTTAATAAGGAAAAATCTTTGTTAAATGATCTATATTCAAGTTGGAGAAGGAAGGCGGCCAATAACAAAGAGATTTTGGGAGCTTTTCTTACAATTGACATGTGTGAATGTCTTCATTTTTTCTTACTTATTGCAAACTTAGATATTACAAAGCTTAAAATTTTTAAGTCAAAATCAATAGTTCAAGCATTAGATATTTAATTTTTAATTTATTATAGAATTTATTAAGAATTTATTTAAGATTTAAAATTTGATTAAGGATTTATTAGGATTTATTTAGGATCTAATATTTGATTAAGTTTTTTTAGGATTTGATTTAGGATTTGATTTAGGATTTGATCAAAGATTAGAATTTATGATTTTATTAGAATTTTTTTAGGATTTGATTAGGATTTAGGATTTCGCTAGAATTTGATTAAGATTGGTCTAGGATTTAGGATTTGATTAGGATTTGATTAGGATTTTCTTAGTATTTGATTTAGGATTTGATTAGAATCGGTTAGGATTTAATTAGAATTTTTTTAATATTTGATTTAGGATTTGATTAGGATTTAAGATTTGATTAGAATATAGGATTTGATTAGAATTTGAATAGGATGTAATTAGGATTTAATAAAGATTTGGATAGTATTTTATAAAGATTTCATTAAGATTTACTTTAAAGTTTGATTAGGATTGATTTAGGATTTTATTATGGTTTATTGAGAGTTACATTAAAATTTTATCAAACTTCAATTAGGATATATATTTTTATATCTCTTTGAAATTTTTATATTATAAATATTTAATTAATTTTAATTTATTATTTCTTTATATTTCTTTTGTAAGTTCTTAAAATTTCTTTTGACTTTAATTAAAGATTAATTAATATTTTTATAATTTAATTAGAAATTATTTACGATTCTATTTAAGTTCTTAAGATCATCTTATTATGAGTTCCATTTTTCTTTTTACATCCATGTATCTAAAGCATTTTCAAGCAAAGTTCATGTTATATAATACTATTCAACTTGTTTGTCAATAGCATAATTTGTTGCTAGTTCTTTACATTAAATATTCTTTTAAACATATCCTATAAAAATGTAGGATCATTATGTTGGAATATTGTATCTATTAAACTATTTTCAACTGAAATAATGAGATATGATTGAGTTCTTTGTTTTAACTCTGTTATTTTTGTTTCAATATAAGATCTCTCTTGTATGCTTGTAAGAAATAATAAAACTAACCTATGTTTTTACAATGTTCACTAAATGTTTTCTCTTTAGGTTTGCAAACATCTTCAACTTCTAGATGTAGTAGTTTTGAACATTTGGTAGCTTGTTTGACTCTTCTATACTACAATTCAAGGACTTTTTTCAAGCTTTTGCTATCTCTTTACTTTGATGGTTTATCTATTGTTGTATAGTGTGATTTTCTAATTGAAAATACATTGGATATTTAGTTATAGAGAATTTAGCTTTGATTTATTGGCCAAGCTCCAATAAATGATTTATTCTTATTATAAAAGATAAATAAATATAACAATATAGAAAGATATTCTAATAGTAAAAAAATTTATATTTAAAAAAAATTATACACAAGGCTTTTTAAAGCGTCTAGAAATTCCTTAACATTCTTTGCTATACCAAATTATAACTAATTAATTTTCAATAAGTTAGATTTTTCATAAGCTCAAAGAAAATCTATAACTTCTTTACAAAAATCTATCTTTATACTATAATTTTGCCATAGCTCCAGATCCCCATCTTTAACATATATATAAAGTCATAGCTTCCAAAAATCCCTTTACTTTGCATAAAATTTCCAAATTGTAGCAAAATCTTTTCAAAATATTTTTCTCCCACAAAAGATTTTTTCTCCTCAAATTTTAGAATATTATATCTTTTAATCCAATTTTTTATTTATTTCAAATTTTTAGAAAATATAGCATTTACCTTTAAGTTTTATCAAAAAAATAAACTGTAAATCTACTACAAATTGTTTAGCATCTTAAAAATCCTAACAGTTGCATCAAATCCTAATTTATAAGCACTCAAGTATTATTTTCTTCATATCTCAAAAAATCCAAAAATCAAATGCCATAAAATTAATATATAGCTTCACAATATATTAATATACATTTGTAAAAATATTTAGCTAAAGATTCGTCCAAATGACCAAGATATGACTAGAACCAAATTCCTTATGAAATCAACTCACTGACAAATTTCAATTTAGAAGCGTTGTCTTCAAGTAATTATAGCTCTTCTATATCAACTCCAAACTTTTTGCCTTTTGAATGAAAAATGTAGCCCTTTAAACCAACTTTTCAACTGCATAATCTAATCTTCAAAAGCCCTTCATATGCATGCAATAAGCTTTAAAGAGTGATAGTAGGTATAAAATCAATACCTTGACTTTAAGTGCCTATATTTCCTTCATAAAAACTCTAAATCACACAAAATTTTTACCAAAACCATACCCAAAATCTTAAACTTGACGATTCTAACTTGTGATGTTTGAATGGTTTCAAAAGAGCAACCCTAATCTATAATAAGGCCTTGGGCAGCCTCCTTGAAGTCCATTGGGCATGAATTTTGGCCAATAAGAATGGAAATGGATGATGAAAATCTCCATTCATCCATATGATTGGCCTAACTATTTTTTACATAGAAAATCTTCTCTAATCTTTTTTCTAATAAGTTTTGTATATTATATGCCTTAAACATCAAATAAAAGAAACAAAACAAAATTTCAAGAGTTACCAATGTCTAATAAAGATGGCTCTAAATATATAAAAAATATTATCAACATAAAATCAACGTTAATAATAGCATTTTTAAATTAACTACTTCAAAGTAGTAATCTAATCACATTTTGTAACCAACTAAAATCTAATAACATGGCTCTCACTACATTGTATAATAAATTATATATTAAATATATATGTGCATTATTTTCACATAGTAGCTAGACCACAACATGACATCATTAGGATATATCTAGTTCTTATCATGTTCTTTCTTTCTTTTTAAGTAGGGAGTAAAATTCACTTAATTTAATACCATTCTAACTTTGAATTAATACCAAGTTGCAAAAAAACACTCAAGTAACTTGAGATTTTTTACTTGAGATTTTCTACTTGAGATGAGATGACATTTTATACATTGGATTCATCTAGCCACATTAACTGACATAAACAATTCACCTAACCTTAAATTGGATAGAAGAGAAGTTTGTGCCATTTTCAACTTGAAGTGGATGAAGAAAGTGCAAACTAACACCTTCTCAACACACAACACATGTAGCAAGTGTGAAGTGATGTGGTTGCAACACTTGAGGCATAGGTGGTGAGAGAAAGCAATGTTATTGCAGGAAGAAGAATGCAGGTTGGGTATCACCAACAGAAGAACCTATAAAGTAATCTGCAACAGTTTACAGAACAATGTAACAATTGCATACACCCACTGCACTTGGAAAGGTTCCAATGGTAGCACTGGTTCTTATTCCGAGAATGTCTGAACAGGAGCAACTGCCGATCATGTAATCGAATTTAGCGTAAGGCATCATATGCTGCCTTCTGAATCAACCAATTGCTGTTCAAAACTGTAGCCATGTCTGCCTGCATCAGCAGCGGCAATAACATTGAACCCTTTTCATTTAGAGTTTTATCAGAGTAGTTTGGGCACCATCCCCTGCCATAGAGATTAACAATCGTTGATATCATGCTCAAGGGAGACAACCAGGATACTACTCGAAGGGCTATACAAGAGAGAAAGATGATAATGAAAACAATGAACATTTACAAGACGGAGGCTTGCAGGGATGTCAAAGTCATGCTGCCAGATTGCTGCGGCATGCAACTCTGTAGTGATGTTGTGCCATGCCGTTGTGGTGTGAGTCCAGCACCCTGATCAGTAGTCATGGGGGCCATGGTCTGTGGCGTCCCATCAGCTAGGCTAGAAGAAGATAAGCCCTCAGCTAGCCGTGATGGTGAGCTGCCTTGAGGGGATGATTCACAAGAGGCTGTCCGATCCGGAGGAGGAGGAGGAGGAGGAGCAGAGCAACTATGAAGAAGCTCCGTCTTGGGAGTAGCAGCAGTAGTAGTATCTTTGGAGTGAAGCATTCTCAGATTGGGATTGGGAACCACATCCACTCGGGCTCGTTTGGTGGATGGTTCTTGCGAGGCAGAGCTCCCACTTGCATCCTGCGGAGAGGATAATGTCTCAGGCACTTGATGAGAGGATTGTGCTGCTGGTGCGTCCTGACTATTGGGTGCGTCGCTCCCGCCCTCTGAATGTTCCATGCTGGAGAGGTCAGGGTGTGAGCCGAAAGCTCCAGAGGCCTTCGTTTGTGCTTCAAACATCATCTTCAGGCTTTGCCCCTGAGCCTCAATTCGCAATTGAAGCTCCCTTTGTATCTGCACTTGCGAAAAGCAGCACGTACAGGTAAGCACAGAGAATCACACTTATCCGTGCACAAGGTTTTTTGAAAATAAATTATGACTTATTCCATGCATTTGGTGATGAGAGAAACTGCAGGGTTGAGAAAGTTAAGTGGATGGGGGCGAACTTATATACCTCCAATTGCTCATGCAATCGCTTCTGCACCTCCATCTGCATCTGCAAGGCTTGAGTCATTTGCAAACTCCTGTAGTTTTACCGCCAAGGGTTAAAAAGTCAGATACAGCTCATGGTTCTTTGGTCCTCTGGAATAAAAGCCTCCACTTTCGTAGCAATCTGTGTAATCATGAACTAGAAGTCCGACTCATTATATTCTTGCTTTTTCCTAAAATCAATGAATTTTGACCAACTGACCACGCAGATGAATCACAACATCTGAGTCTTTTTTCATATTGCCATACAGTCGAAAAGTAAAATCCGTGACTAATACGCCTTGAAATATGAAAGTTTCGGAAAACTGACGAGTTAATATCCATGCCGCCGAATGAACTATCATTTCGTTTTCGATCATTTCTAGCATCTGCACACCAGAAATTAGCAATCAGAAACACCAAACAAACATCTGCAAAGCGACAAAACTGTGAAAATTTTATCAGTGAAACCAGTCAATTAAAAGAATATAGGAACATACCTTCAGAAGTCTCAGGGATAAGTCTGTATTTCTGCATTGAAAAAGGAAAAGAAAAAGACAATGAGGATTTACACTGCTGACAGTCTGTCTATACGAAGAAAAAACTGAACTCGTACAACCATACATCTAAGTACCAATGAGAATTGAAGACATTGCATGAAGATATCCAACTTGAATTACGGAATGTGATTTACCTTTAAGACCACCTAAAGAACACAGATCCTATGGAAGAGAAAATGTTACTAAGAAATGAGTTGCTCCAGGCTATTAACCTGTAGATGGCTCTTGACATGATATATGGTAATCCCTTCAACGCTCATGATACGCAGCACAGCTTTGGGTGTTGCACCTGCTCAATTCATACGAAAAGTACAGGAACGTAGTAAGCGCCCCGGAATCTTAACACCTGAAGATTTTCCCTTGTTTTACATGGCACTCCAAATTGGTTTTTTACAAAAATTAAAACTTAAAAAGTTTGGACAGCTCGTGCTGAAATTCAACTACAAGAAGAAGAAAAGTATTTCACAATCAAGATTAAGAGGGAGTACAGCTACCCACGTTCAGGTCCACCCAATTGAGCAACAGCATCAACAAACTTTTCATGGAGTTCTGGAGTCCATCGTAGACGTGTTTTGACAGAAGCAGCTTCATCGGTTGACGCTGTAGTTGAGGCAATGGCTGATACTCCGACTGATGCTCCGACCGATGCTCCTACTGATGTAGGAGTCCCTGAAGTGCCTGGACTCCCTTCTGAAACAGCACCTAGAGCAAAACCAACTCAACACAAAATTTAGGGCTTTGTACACGTTGGTATCGCTCACATATTCCTAAGTATCTTCAGAAGAAGCCTTTTAAACGTAGGGTTTTTAACATATTGGTTAAACTGACCTGCTGATAAATTTATCGGGTTCCCCAAACACCAACACTTAAACCAGACGAAGAATGGGTTATATAATGAGCTATCAAATCTAAACGTAGAAGTGGTTTATGGAAGTTTAAGTATGCACCTGAATGTTGCCAATCAGTACGTAAATCTCTTGCAGGTATGAGGGGAGGAGGTGCAGGTAAATTTGCTGGTGCTTGGAATACCTGAAAATTGAAAATGAAGATGTTAGCCAACTTCCAAGATTCCGTGGAACAATCCACATATACAACTAGTTCTGGAAACAAACAGAGTGCAGCTAGCGAGACCACAGGCTACAGGAAGCTTACTCTCCCATTAATAGTATCCAGGGGCACGCTCTCATCGTAGGGGTCCGTAAAAATTTCCATCCAATTGGGTTCCGGCCATTCAGGAATGTTCACTGAAGCCTCTGCTGTCTGTGAGGACCCTTCGCTGTCACGGAGTATCCTCTGATCAGATGCTCCTTCAAGTAATACCTGCCCCAGCCATAACCCTTAGTTCTTGGCCATTTCTTCAGGAGGCATCCCTTCGTAATGTATATTTTTTTGCTAAGATACCCGATGTAAAGTATTCTTGACAACAAAACAGACCAAGTGGCATCACACATAAGGTGTCAAAACCATCCAACAAAGACCAGTATGAAAGTCTTGTCTATGTTCCCTAGCAACGTCACCATTCCTAAACTCACGAAAATGGAGTTACCAGAAACCTCCTGGGACCAGCTTAATGATAAGCTAAATACAGAATAGCGGGGTTCAAGCTAGGTTGAAGGTCCAGCAAAGAGTAATAGAGCATTATCAAGGAGTTCCAGTTTTAAAGTTCCGCAATCTGAAATCTAAATTCACGAATATATTGTGCTAGTGTGCAGTCATGACTCAAAGGCGAATGATACGAAGCGCAAATAAACCCTCGCAAATTTTAGTTGAAGGTAATGTTTACCACATTCAATAAAACCCGCCATGACACACTACTTCGGCACTTCCTTTACTAGATGAAATAACAATATACTAAGCCTTGTATGAAGTCCAAGAACATCAGGTTATTGCCAGAATCCCACACGACCAGAGCAATATTGATTGTCTTACCCTGACTCCGCAAACAAGTGCTGAATGCTAAACTACAAGCAATTATGACTAGGAAGTGAGAAGAAACTTATCAATGAAAAAGAACTTGTGAAATAGGAGCAAGACTAACCTGCAAAGGATGGCAAAGATTTGCAGCATTAATCTCAGGGGTTATGCCGAGTCTAGAATTAGCATACTGCTCTAAAGATGTAGAATCACCCCCTCTTCCAGACCCTATTTCCTGCAATTCCATTCGCATACCAGACCCCGTTCCATCGTCCCTTCCGATTATGGAAAACCCTCTACCCTCATCAGTCGTTGCCGCAGTAACTCCCCCTCGAAGACAATGAAAATTCAAGCCACAGCTATTTGTCGGCACAAGAGCACTGAGCTGCGCGTGAGCTGCAGCGGTACTGCCCCCAGTTGACGAGCTCGACGCACCCATGGATATGGTGCTCGATGGCCAAGGCACAGCCGACTGGGAGGATTCTGTAACGACCCACTGGCCATTGGTGCTGGGCCACTGCTGGGCATAAGTTGCTGAGAGATTATGAAAAGACGGAATATCGAAGGATGGGAACGAGCCCTCCTGCAAGGTCACAAAAGCCAATCCATGGTGGATGTTACGCAGGGTTGGCGCTGCTACATGAGGCGGTGTATACTTACTAATGTTGAGGGGATGGTATTGGGCAGTGATGGATGGAGAAGTGATTACATGGGGAGACGACGTTTCCCATGAGGAAGGTCGGACGCCCGGAACGGCAGAGTAGTAGTTTGGCTGCTCGGGTGGAGTGGCGTCGCGCGCCAGAGGCTGAATCCCCCGGACTCCACCAACCGAGGTTGGAAGAAAGAGTTGAGAAGGACACTGCGCACCGAGGGGTGGCAAGGATTGCAACATCCCTGGTGATGCTAGTGGGCTGCTGCTATTGCTATGGCTTCGTTGGCGCGCAGCTGAAGTGGGGAGCAAGGGTGGCATTTGAGTAGGCATTGGAGGCTTGGCATGGGGGTAAAAATCTAGGAGCTAATCTCTCAGAACGATTACGTCACGAAATACAGATCGGTGGTCATGTATCAGCCTTAGTTCCGTCTTCCGACATGATGGCGACGTTATTTGAGGCCGAATTCCTACGAGACCCGCCTGGATAATAGCCTCGGCGATTCTTACCCTAAATTCTCGCAAGCTTGACCTGTCAGAATGGGTGAAATTCCAGTCTTACAGACACAAGAAAGGAACCCTTTCGCTCCTCCCGACAACGCGAGACGCCCGGTATTGTGTAGAGACAAGAATAAGGTGAAGGTATAATGTCTGCCTGGCAAACCTGAATGCCTCTACCCCTGACGTTCGACTTGGATGTGCACCAGCTGAATGAAATCCTCTCGATAAATTAAGTCTACTCGCATAATCACTTCATCTGTTCTGGATTCAGCTAATACTGCAATGAATCCACAACGCTGGGAACCAGATGGTGGCATGCAAACCTAGCTGCTAACCCACCGTCACTGCCAACAGAGACGGACCCCTACCCGAACGATTCCTTCCTGCAAATTCATGCGCGACTATAGAGATGAACAAAATCGAACAGCTTCCAAACTCAGAACTCCTGAAGGATTCATCTTTCCACTCCCCCTGTCTTCCGCTTCTTCTCCCAAAATTCCAACTCCTGAGTGAAACGCAACAAGCTCAGACGACGAACACGACACGACAGAACCCACAGTCCTGCAATCCGAGCTGTTGTTGAAAAGTACCCCGAAGCCCACTTCCAGGCACTCCCTTTCTCCGATTCCTTGCCCGCTGGCTCTCTACACGCGGCCTCCCTCGTCACCAGCTCATCAACTCTGGTGCGACACCTCTTGCGACCCCTACGCTCGTATCCCCCCGGATTTCCAGGAATCAAAGGGACGGAAACGGTTAGCCTCCCTTATCGCACGACCACCTGGAACTAATCGCAACGTCAGTCTGCTAAACCCAATGGCAGCGATTTTTCAAGCGCAAATAAGATGTCCAAGATGTCGGGTCGAGATTGCGCGCAAGCAAGAAAGCGCAGGAAAGCAAGCGAGGATCTGGCTGATCGTCTCGACCGAGCTGGGAAAAACGAAATTCCGGCTTTTCCAGTCTCTCTCTAAAGGTCAAGCCTGTACTACTTTTTTCTTCAAACTGTACAAGTTCTGTCGCAGAGAATGGTTAGACAAGCGCGATGGGCTCCATTCCTCATCAAAAGAAATCTGGCCCTGCAACTCAAACAGTCATTCACGAGCTACGTCCCGGGAAATAGCATCAGGAACCCCAGGCTCAACATATCTACACGGTCCGCTCACATCGCCACCTTCACTGCGGCATCGCTCCAAACACCGGTTCCATCCTGATTCGGATCTAGTCTGATCTCGCAGACAGAATTTTCGTCTGTGAACTTGTCACTCGTCGGAAACCCAGGCGTGAGAAATCCGTGTTCAAGCTCTTCAGTTTTTCCAATTATTGCCATCGAGTTCGTCGTTGGGCATTAGTAACACGTAGCCGTACCATCACGAGAGAATCGGCAGGGAGATGTCTGCGACGCGCCACAGATTCCAGCTGATGGATGGTGCGGGGGCCGGCCGACGGCAGTTCAGCAGTGCGTCCTCGACGGGCATTGAATGGTGTGTCTGAATGGTGGAGTTCGGCAGAATCTCTAGGCTGGCAGGCTGTTGTCGAGCGCGCCCTCCATACGCCCTGGCCCCCCCAGATGCCGGGGGGCGGGGCTGCTGGTGACTTCAAGCCAGGCCCTGCTGCAACTTGACTCCTCCGCTGCTCCCCCCACCCGACCTCCTCCTCCGCCCACTTCGATGCTGCTGCTGTTGCATCATCGCCACCATCATCCGAAGGGAGGAGCAGCAGTGCACAATCACCGTTTTGGATACTATTGTTGTGGTCGTCGTCCTGGACACTGGGATGAGAGTGAGAGTGTGAGAGAGAGGGAAAGAGATTCTTTTCTTCTTCTTCGTCTGCTGAGCTTGGACGAACTGGAGTGGAGTGGTGCGGCACTACTAGTGCTGCTGCTTTCCTTCCTGACTTCCTTCCTTCCTCAGTGGGCTGCATCATCATCCCACCCCAGCCCGCTTCCCCTCTCATGCAATATTATCATACTGGATAGATTCGCCGCTTCTTTCTTCATCAACGCCCCCCCCCCCTTTTTGGCTAAATTCAACAGATTCATGTTGCAGTCCACTTTTATTGGAAAAAGTTTCTGGATATCCAAAGCTTTTATTCAGTGTTCGCTAGGTCAGTTTCGAAGGTAGCAACTGGGTTGTAATAAGGGCGAACAATGCCCATTGATATTTCTGGACAGTAGCCCAACATATGCGATTGTTTGCTCTGTCTATCACCTGGATGCTTGAGATATATATACAATCATATGAAGTTTCAAATGGTTAATGTCTCCAACTGTGTGTTTCACAAATAAAATTTTAACTATTCTGTATTTTAAATGTCTATTTCTAAACCTTTTTCAAAATAAGAGACTCTGGTTATATATTTACCTTGTGTGGGAAAATTTGTATTTTCACACACAAAAACATACACAGTTTATTTATTCATTCATTCATTCGTTTATTATAAAGGTCGCTACATATATTTTAATCTCATTTATTTGAAAAAGAGACCTCTCAAAAACATACTTCAATAAATTAATAATAAATAAAATAAACAGGCTCTAATGAATATCAGATTGTCTTTTTGAAAGTTTTCTTCCCTTGCTGTTATAGTTGTAGACATTAAGACATGGTCATAGATGGCACTGGGTTTGTTTAAACGTAGAACAGAAATTCGTCCACTGCAAACAAGATTAGGAACAGAAGCAGCAGCAGCTAGAAAGAACTGTAGGAATGAGAGAGAGAGAGAGAGAGAGAGAGTGACACACACACACACACACACCACTTTGTTGAAGAAGCAGTGTGGGAATGAAGTGGTAGGATTCCATTCTATCTCGTGACTGTGTGTTCATTAGTTGTTTACAATATTGGGGATTGGATTTGGTCCATATTTGATTGTTGGGGGGAGTGTGGGTTAGGGATGAGGTGCGGGGGGTTCTAGGGCTCGGACGGAATCTCTCACTCACTGCCCGTTGGGCTGGGGCTGCAGAACCTGCCCCGAGATCCCTCCCTGGAAAAGAGTGACACAAGAGTTCTGTAATCTTTCCTTTTCCTTGCCCTGCCCTATCCTGCCCGTGCCAGCCAGCCAGCAGAGGAGGTGGTCCAAGGGGGTGGGGTGGGGGGTGGAAGAGGGGACCCATCCATCACCACGTTGACGATGAATCTCTCGATCTAGGATGGCAGGAATCTTGTGGGAAGGAGAGGGAGGGAGGGAGGGTGAGGGAGAGGGAATCTTCTTCTTCTTCTTCGTCTTCTGCCTCCTCCCTCCTCCTCCGTCCTCCTCACTAGTCGTGGCTGCTGCCCCTTTCCCCGTGGTTGCCTGCATGGTAATGAATCCTACCCTCTTCATCCATCCATAAATACATCCATCAATCAATCCGTTCATCCATCCGCATATACATCCATCCGCCCATCCATCAATATATACATCCATCGTCCGTCCATCAATATATACATCCATCTGTCCATCCCCACAGAGGCGAGGTGAGTGGATGACTTCCTTAGTTTGCTTTTTTCATGGTGGGCTGCTACATTCACAAATGATAGAAAAGGAGTGGTACCCTACCACCTGCATGAAATCCTATTTCCTATTTCATTTCCATGGGGATGGATGGATGGATGAATGGATGGATGAATGGATGGATGGATGAATGTATGAATGGATGGATGAATGGATGGATGAATGGATGGATGGATGGATGGATAAGGCCTCACTCTCTTGCTTGCTTGGTTTGTAAGGAAGGCCACCCATTCCATGAATCGCCATACAACTACTACCATTATTATTACTCCCAATAATGATGATTTGTTGATACTAGCATAAAATATTCTTTTGGTCTCTCTCTATGTTAGCTTCTTCTTAATATATCTATCATTGCTTTTTCACAATTCTCACAACTTAAAATTATTATTCCAATTTAGATTTGAATTTTTGTTTAGAAACTCTTGAATTACATTTTGTGAAATTAATAATATTCTTCAAAACTAGAAACTAGATGTGAAATTATATTAATACAAGATTATTTGCATATTTCATTATTTTCATCAAAAAATAAGCAATAACTCAACTTTTGATCAATCAAAGATCAAAAACTTAAAGTTGTATCAAAGACATGAATGTCAAAGAACTAAAATGTCAATACATTCTTGTGTCATTCAAAAAGACTAAAAAATCACTCAAAGATGATAGGATATTAAATTAAAATGGCTATTGCTAAAGACAAAAAAATAAAAAGCCTTGAAATAAGATTAAAGACTAGAAATTTGTTGATAAAAATGAAAAAGGCTTCATTCTTGCCTCCATATATACTCTTAACTAGGGGCTACATGGTGATGTCTTGTAAGACCTCCAAAATGTATTGACTTTGCAAGCTACATATCTTAACTTGCAAGACAAGTTTTCTATATGTGCATCATACAATTAGCTTGTTTGTAAGCTATCAATATATGGTTAAGTTGTTCATCAAATTTTTAGCCTATCAATTAATTATAAACACATGTAAAATCAAAGTAGCATCTATAAAGCTTCTAGGAAGCTACTCTATAAAATATTATGAAATAAATTTATTTTTACTTACTTCTACTTAATCATATAGATAAATATTAGAATAAGTATGTATGTTCGTGACGTTACCTCTCCTTCTAGAGACAAGTTCCATAAAGAGTGGTCATCATATATTGAAAAAATCCAAGATGCACTGAATTATATTTGCCACATATTTTGATCTTTATTTTCTTCAAAGATGATTGATAGGTCCTCTCAACCATTTATGGTATCCCATATCATAGCAAAAAGACTACTTTATTATTTGATCGTTGTTGAGGCCTTTATAATCCCTTTTAAATAAAATATTTGGAATACCATCAAGAGTCATTCCTATCTCTAATAAAATTCTCAAACATTAAAAATCTCTTTCAAAGTTGTGATACCAAACATGTTATATCTTGCCATCTATTTGACAAAGGACATATTATTTTTGTTGATTTTTATTTTGATTATGTCATCTTGAAGATTATAACAATTGCAATGTTTCATTCAATAAGTCAGCAAGTAATCATTCTTGAGTTGAATCTACTAGTTGTTGATTCTCCATCTTTTCAGCGTCACAAATATAAAAAAGTTACAAATAAGAATAGAAGGTAGAATATTATTTTTTTTAAATCTTGTTTCTTTTATAGCAAAGATTTTTTATTTTTTATCTTGATTTTGATAGATATTAACAATGAAAAGCCTTAACCTTCTTTGTTGCATTTGTAAGTTTCTTTGATGGCTCCTATGAGTATTCATTAATATCATATCTGCACCAATGAATATGATATTCCAATCTTTTTTGGCACTGCCTTGAATCTAAAACTTCTTCTACTTCAAATTCATAATTATTATCTATTTTTATAAGAAGACGTGGCATTTATCTTCTTCTTGAGATATTCATTTTTATTATGGCTCAAGATGAGACACACAGAATAGGAGATGGATCTTCATAGATTTTGGTAGATGTAAACAATAAGTAACATGATTAATTTGTTGACAAATAAGAAAAAGTTCAAGCCTAAAATCGTCCAACTTATAAGAAAGACAAGTAGTTTTGATATTGCAATAAAGTAGTTATATCTTCTTACCTATGATGAATTATGGTTGTTTTTTATGATAGGCATCCATATTCAACTTTTGTTATTTTTGAGCTTCTTTTAACTACGTCTTTATTGTTGCATGTAGCTCTAATAAATGATTTGTCAAATCTTTTGCCATAGGATTATTAAATTTTAAAAATTCAAAAGTATCAAGTCATGAATGATAATCATAATTAATAAATAAAAGATACTTATTGAGTAGAAAAATATACTAAATTATTGTATATAAACTCTACTAATGGTAGAAGAGTTATTTAATTGTCTTGATGATAATCAATGATACACATCAAATACTATTCCAAACCTTTATTTACCTATTCCATTTGCCCATTAATTTGAAGATAAAAAGTCAAAAAAGCTTTATATCCACTTTTAAAATCTTGATATAAATTGAATCTCTCTATTTAATATAATATCTTTGGACAATCCATGATACAAATAGATGTTGTAAAAAAAACTTAGCCATTACTTCATTTGTGATAGATTTTGTAAATAGTACAAAATATGCCATCTTGGTAAAATAATTTACTACCACAAATATATAATTATACAAACCTAAGACTAAAAGATCTATAATAAAATCCATAGAAATAGAAGACCATGGTTGTTTTAGAATAGATAATGGTTAGAAAAGTCCATAAGGTCAATGACAAGGAGTTTTTATTTTTTTTAATTTCTTTTATTACATATTTTTATAAAGTTTTTAATTAGCTTTTTTTTTTTAAATTTTTGGCCACCAAAGATTTCTTGATATTAGCTCCAAAGTCTTATTGTATCTAAAATATCTATTTTTTAGAAAGTCATGACAAGCTTGAAGAATACATAATCATGTTTTGCCTTTTGAAATATATAATCATTCCTTGAAATAGAATAGATTTATTTTGAATTCAAACTTAAAAATATCATAAGACTTGGAAGAAGTACTCTTGATATTAAGAATAAAAAGATTAAAAGACATACTTGATTGAATTTTCTTGAGAAAGATGGAATTAAGAGTTAATGTTGATTTTATTGCACAAAGATGAAAATGCTCTAGCTTCAAGAAAATCATTCTTTATTGATCAAAAGCTACATCTCTTTCTTTTGGTATAAAATAAGAACATCTGAAAAGGATGTCTGACAAACTTTGTTGTTTTTTGGATTGTTAAATAATCTTGAAATCAAAACTTAATAAAAACATGCTCTAATAGGCTTGATAGCAATTCAAATGACTTGCTCACATGAAGTGTTCAAGGTTCTTGTGATCCTTAGATATGGTGGCTAGATTAAAAGTGCTTTCTAAATAATGATGTTATTCTTGAAATGAATCCACAATTACAAAAAACTCTTTATTATGGACCTCATAGTTAATCTCGGTTGCTAAAACATTTCTTGGAATAAAAAGCTATTGGATAGAGTTTATCATTTACTTCCATTTGTGACAAAACAATACCTATAGCAA